TCAATCCCTCTCAAAGGGATGTCTTCACTATGTCATTTAATGCAATGTACTCAACTATATCAATATAAACTTTTAACTAATTCTTTTAATTTCAAAAAAAAAAAAACCACTAAGCAGACATGTTTCATATAGCTAAAAATTCCCAGCCTATACTCAAAAGGGCAGAGAATTATTTTAAAAGGTATGTGCTATTTTTTAAATATGCAAAAAGTTCAATTTTAGTAATATATTTCTGTTCCATTTCCTTTATTCTTCACTCCTGAATACCAAAGCTCACTCCCTCTCATTAGATACAGTAGTGGTGATTTAATTGTTCCTACTGATTCAACCTGGAATTATTCAAGTTTCGAATTCAGTTCTGAAGCTGTTATAAAATTCACAGCAGCTGCTGACAATAAAGCTAAAAGAGCCATTATTTAATTCAGCTCCCCCTGCAGCATCCACCCACCCAAACAGGTAGACATAAATCTGCAGCAGTCCTCTAAGAGTAGTAAACTTTTTTAAGTGATAGTTTACTTTTGTTTTAGCCTATTTTTTTTTTTTTTTAAGAAAACATCAGACCCACCAAAAATCACTAATGGGAGATAAGAAAATCCCCTTCTGAGGTCAGATGCCACTGTCTTGGTGAGAAAATGAAGGATAAATTCACTCAACAACATTCACTTAATAAGTACCACCTGACACTATATTAAGAGCTAGGGATGCACAGATGATTCAAAAATCTGTTGCCTTTAAGAAGTCGTCTGGTGCACAGATTTGGTGGAAAGACAATTACAATATAAGTTGAAAAATATAAAATCTGAACACTGATAAAGCAGTGCCCGGGTCTGCTTCAGGAAGAGCTTTATAGAGGAAATGACTGAAGGCGAAATAGGAGTTTACTAGCTAATCAGCTGAAAGAGAGAGAGATCCAAACAGCAAGGGAAGGGACTGGAGGGAAGGTGATTACTAAGAAAAATGATGAAACTATGCAAGCAGAAATCATTAAGAATCTAAAGTGAGACACCAGGGCAGTGAGGATGGAAAAAAAGAGGCCATATTTACGACAAACTATGAAAATAAAATTGTAGGACTTGACTGGATGTGGAGAATGAGAAAAAAGGGGAGACTAGAATCTCCTGGTTTCTGCCTTCGATGGACGGTGGCAGATTCATTGGGTTTGAAAATGTAGTGGGAGGCAATGGATCTGTTGGGTGGATATAATGAATTCAGCTAAATATGAAAGTATGAGTTTGGAAATGCCGAGTTTCAAGTGACTGGAACACTGAAGTAAAGATGTGCATTGATATATGGAATCTGAAGCTCCGGCCAGAGGTCTGAGCTGGAGATAGAAATTTGGAAGTCACTAGTATGTGAGCAGAGGTGACATGGATGAAATGCCCTAGACAGAATAGGTACAGTAAGAAAAAGAACACCGTGGATGAGAACCGGGGCAGACAGCCAACAGAAGACTCACTAGCTTAAACAAGCACATGGTATGCAACCACACACTGGCTCACACAAGAAGGAAGAGTGAAAGTTAGAAATTGTTCAGTGCCATAACTACACCAGACACAGACAAGACAATAATGCCAGAAAAAACAGAAGGCAGTAGGAAAAGGGAAGACCAAATATTAGGTGAACTGACTCCAAAACAGAAGCCATAGGCATGAATCTACAGGAGCTGAACAGGGCTTCTGAGAACAGGACATTGTGGATATCACTTGTTCATAAGGTCACCAGGAGTTGGAGCTGACTGGCATGTAGCACATAAGCTACAAAAGCATAATTCAACTTCTGGTTTCTAGTTCCACATGTAAGGAGCTTAGAAGTTGCAACTTTGTCCTAACAAGTAAAAAGCTGAACAGACTGAAAAATCATCTTTGACCCATAAGAGCAGGGATGACACACAGCAAACCGCTGCCCCCAAGACTGGACATGAATACAGGGAACCTCGACTTACAGGAGCAGAGACCCAGGAGCTGAAACCACTGCAGGAACCAGAGCCAAAAACCTGAACTGCAAATGATGAGTTGCTGGAGGCTCAGTGTAGACAACTCCGAGAGTTAAAAACTCCAGGGAACCCAGTGATAAGGGGGACCCCCCACAACCGTGTGAGGTTTACTTTCAGGAGCTCAACTAAGTTCCCAATCTCATCTGGCTTCAGCAG